TTTCTTCCTTCCTTCCTTCCTTCCTTCCTTCCTTCCTCCCTACCTACCTACCTACCTACCTACCTCCCTACCTACCTACCTACCTACCTACCTACCTACCCACTTCTATTTTCTGTGAGCTCCGTTTTCGGCCTCTTCACTTCGGAGACTTCTTCCTAGCTCTCCCGGGACTGACTACGTACACGGTTGACTGGCGTGCTTAAGCCAAGACAATTTTGAATTGTGGGATTGAACAAACTCGCCCTTGTATGCTTCAGAATGGAAATGTGCTCATCCCTAATGGGAGGTTTGTGGCCTCTTGGGCACAAGTCACGCAAGCCCACCCCCCCACCCCCCGCCCCGCCTCGCCTTGTACAGTTAAACCGGAGAAGTTGGACTGAATTGGATTTAGTTAGTTTCAGTGAGTTGCCTAGTTCTAATATGGCAGGTTTAAACAGGCAAACCTCACCCTGCGTTTTGTGTGCAGGAAAATACCTGAGTCAGTTCAGTGAAGTGCATCAAAAAGATTCTGTAAGGGTTCTGTCTCCGAGTAAATAAACGTAGGAGATTCTGAAAAACCCGTCGACCTCCGTGCGCGCGCGTTCCTGGCTGGGCTGGGCTGGGCTTGGTTGCTCGTTTTGATGTTTTTTGGTAAAGAATCGCGGTCCTTTCTTTTCTTCCCCCCCTCCCTTTTCCCCAAACAGCAGCTCCTGGTAGAAGGCGAGGAAGACAAACCTACAGCCGGTTCCAAACTTTAGAGCTGGAAAAGGAGTTCCTTTTTAACCCGTACCTGACCAGGAAACGAAGGATCGAGGTCTCCCACGCCCTGGGACTCACGGAAAGGCAGGTCAAGATCTGGTTTCAAAACCGGAGGATGAAGTGGAAGAAAGAGAACAACAAGGACAAGTTTCCGGCTTCCAGGCCAGAGGAAAAGGAAGGGGGGGACGCCAAAAAGGAAGTCCAGGAGGACCGAGAGGGAAGAGGGGAAGGCCCAGCGATGGCGTGAGGTTCTTCTCCTCCTGGTGAAAGACAATTTTTGGTTTTAGCGGGGAGGCTTTCTCCTGACTTCCTCCTGCTTCTGCTACTCAGGCACCTTTCTTGCAAGAGTCTCACCTTGTCTCTGAAGCTACCTTAGGACATTTCTGCGCTAGGCAAGAGCTTATTTTATTTCTTCTGGTGTGGGGCACCCGGGGTGAAGTCCTAACCAGCTGCTGCATATTCCTCCAACTCCACCCTTCACTTCGAGTTTGACACTGAAAAATCTAGTGATTTTGTACGTGGCGGGTGTGTGTGTGTCTATCGGGAATTTCTCTTCTCTTCTCAGGACAGACCTATCCAATGCTTTAAGAATCATATCTACCAAGTGCACTTGTATCTATGAAATTTCCTTCTAGCTTATAAAGTAAATTAATTAAGACATTGAATGATTTGTGTGTGTGTGCTACAGAGGGAAGAAATATTTTAATTAAATATTGGTTATGAATGAACAGTAAATGAAATAAAATTTATTCTAATAGTGATATGGAGTTTCTTCTCTACATTTGCCTTATCTTGAAGTTAAAAAAATCTAGTTGTTATGACCAGATTCCTGGGGTCCTGAATGTAGTATGATGGCTTGGAAACTTGAGTGAATTCACTCCAAATGAACTAGAAGTAGTTTCCTTAAGAGAATAATCAAATAATCCTGCTGCAATGGCCTGGACAGCATTAGTGATACAGATCGGCCCTTTAAAATCTGGGGCCCACCAAGGGTTTTAGATTACTGAACCATCACACTAGTGAACAAACAGGCTGGGGATTGTGGACATTGTAGTCCAACACATCTGTATGGCATCAGAAGGGGGGGAAGAAGACCAATGATAATTATTAGCTTTACACTGATTGCTATCAGATTTTGCCTTTTGCTGTTCCCAGTGCAAACTTTGGTTGCAATCACCATGGGTGGACACTCGGTACATTCAAATTGCCTTGAATGCCCTTGACTTAATGGGAGTTGGCTCACTTCCCAATAACAGTAGCACTAGTACTGTACTAACAGTAACAACAAAAGCAGCATCCAGTTAGCTGATTTTGAAGGCTGATTTGATCTGACTTGGAAAACCAAATCTGTAAAACATTGTACTAGAAGTGGCTTCCTGTTAGTTTCAATGCACTTGATTTCTGCCTACATGAGTTTCCAAACTGCTTCTTCTTATAATATGTCGAGGTCTAAATGTTGGCCATGGACGAGTTTCTTTGTTTCACAAAGAAAACAAAAACAAATTCATGAAGGCATCTAAGGCATCTTTTCTAATGTCCTCCTGCTTCATGGCCCCATCCATTAAATTGTCCTTCAATCTGATAATAAGAATGGGGCAATGATAGTTTGCCATTGATCTTGATGAAATTTAAGGGCCACTAATCTTCTTTTCAAGGCTACACTCTTTCAGATGGAGAATAAGATGATTTATATTCTTAAACATGAATATGTTAGGTCTGTAGAAGCAATCACAATAAAATTAATGTGGCTTCCAAGTAACTCAGTGCTCAATCCCCTTCCCACCTTTTTCTGTGAAAACAGAGCCTCCATAGACAAAAACTGTATAACTTATTACTACATCGGTGCCTCTCTCAGGTTGATGTAGTTTTCGGGGGGGGGAGGGGATCTTACTGTTCCCAGGCTCATAGTGAAAACTTTTGATTTGAGGTGGTCTAGCTGTCTGGATAGCTCAGTGGTTTAGGTATCTGGTTGGGAATTCTGAGTCCCCACTCTGCCTCCTGGGAGGTACGGCCAGCCCGCGAGGCCTTGGATGAGCTGCACAGTCCAAGGGCACCCCCAGAAAAAGGGGATGGTCAACCACTTTTGAATATTCTCTACTGGGAAACCCCTGAAAAAGATCTTCGGGGGGGGGAGGGGATCTTACTGTTCCCAGGCTCATAGTGAAAACTTTTGATTTGAGGTGGTCTAGCTGTCTGGATAGCTCAGTGGTTTAGGTATCTGGTTGGGAGTTCTGAGTCCCCACTCTGCCTCCTGGGAGGTACGGCCAGCCCGCGACGCCTTGGATGAGCTGCACAGTCCAAGGGCACCCCCAGAAAAAGGGGATGGTCAACCACTTTTGAATATTCTCTACTGGGAAACCCCTGAAAAAGATCTTCATAAATCAGAATGGACTTGACAGCAAATGATTGTTATTTCAATCTAATAATGGTGATCAACAAATCTAAGTATAAAGGAGATGAGGTGCAATAGCTGCATTTATTTTATTGAACAGGATCTGGATGCAATGTTAGGAAATTAACCAGCACATAATCAGAACAAGCACCACTCAGTTAAAGCTCAAAGGCCAGTCCTCTCTTTTCTGGGATGGGAGGCCGGGTGGATCCTCAGAGTGGCCAGGCCTCCATGGGCCTCTGAAGACAGTGTGCTTAATTAGTTTGGTCCAGCAAGGTGACATATCCATCTGTCTCTGCAGTGAGTGGTATATTTTATAAACAGTTCATGTGCCTTCCTAATAAAACTTCCAGGTAAAATGAACATTGATTGGGTACTGTTTCCTCCCCCCCAACCAATAACCTAAAGAATTTTGAAGAATAGGAAACAGCAGGGATGTTTCTGCTAGAGATATAAACACCAGTTATCCTTCCTGCTTATCTTAGCTTGGGCATTATTTGGGCAGCAGTGTCATCTCCTTGCGTGTGTTCAATAGTCCCCCTTCCACAAGTGAAACATTTAATCCTACCCAGACAATGCCAATAAAGCTACCTAGAGAAGTAGGAAGGACACTCACAACAGAGTAATTGTAAATAAGAACAGTGGTGGTTGTGATGGGAGGAGGAGGAAGAAGTGCTTTACCTGCAGTGCACACTCTCTGTCCTGCTTCCAAAGGAAGGTATTATAAAATAAATAAATAAATAAATTATGGCCACAGCAGTGGGCAGCTGAAGCTTCGGCCATTGCCCAAGACCTTTCAAGGTGTTCGGGGAGGAGAGAAGATTGGCAATGACGAGACTGTGTGCTCCACTGTCTCAACCGCTATGTTCTTCCTCCACAGACTTTACATGTAAAGACCAGCAAGTCTGATACCGCATAAGCCCTCTGGGACAGCAGACCCCCGTCATCAGACACATGCTTATTCATGAATGTAAGGAGCAAACTTAAATCTGAAACCACTGCAGAGGAACAGAAAACTAGTGAAACATAAAACAGGCGTTGGATTCATTTGTCCATCCTAGCGGTAACTCCAGATCTTATCGTGTTATGAGATAAAATGAATGGCTGTTATCTCCGCAGAGAATTAAGCCTGCTTAAGCGTGTTCAATCGCCTGTTGATGGAGGACGGCCTAATTCGACGCTGGATCGTGCCCAGGGCGCGCAGTCCCCTTTGCGGGTTATGAACAGCACCTTGGCTGATTTTCAGTGAGGTTTCTGTGCTCCTACTTTTTGCTGAAGAGCGTCCTAGCTCTGCACCCGTTTATTTGTCGTACCCTGTATCTTACTGTTGTGAAGGAGAACAGTATTGGGTCTACTATTAAGCAATAGGAAAAGGACAACACACATATTATGTTTATGCATATGGTTAGGAATGTAGGTGTAAGCGTGAAAGTGCTGCAGAGGTTTGGAAACGTTGCAGAGGAAGATAGAAAAACATCCGCAAACGGCAGCAAAGTGGAGAAAGAGGCTGCGCTTAATAAGCGGGGAAATCCTGCAGTCTGTAAGCCATGTACATCTAGTTATGGTCCATGCCACCTAAAATTCGATGACAGCCAATGAATATTTAGCATTAAACTGATATTTCATTCAACTTTTCATTCTGTTTCCATATGTCTGACGAAATGGGCGTCTGCACAAAAGCTCACATTAAAATATAATAGTTAATCTTTCAGATGCCACCTGTTTTTGTCTTTTGTTTTGTTTCTTTGGATTTTGCCTGATATATTAGGTGCTACAAGACGCCTGTTGTTCTCGATGCAACACACTTAAGACGGATGCCTCTCTTGGAAGCCTGGAATCCTAATGCTGCTGGTTGATTTTTAAAATATTATTCTTATTATTATTTTACAAGCGAACAGAGTTACGTTGCTTTCTTCTCTGCATTTCGTTTGTCCCAGGCTGGTCTCCTTGCCCCGTCTGCCCTCGTTGCGAACGAGGGAAGAAAATTAGTCCCTTCCTTGCTTTTCCAACGGCTCCTTGTATGAAACTTCATCAGCCCCGCTGAGGTTTATTTTACGCCCTCTAATCTGATGCTGTATTGCAGCCGCTGCGGTTTAAGAATGCCGACCTGGCCGCACCTTGGTGCAAGGAAACGGCGAGGGATTCTCCCGGCCTTTCCCCCCTGAGGCGACTGCTCCTGGTTAAGGCAGGCGGGTGATTCGAACGAAAGGAGGCCGATCCGCACCGGCAACAAGCCTCTGCTTCTTGGGGAACGTGGCCTTTGCGGAGTGTCGGTATGGTATATATCGCACAAAGCGCAGGCTAGGCAAGGCACTGTTGGGGCAGAGCGGCCACTCCGTGGAGGGCAAGACCGGCATCAGGCCCGCGCCAAGCCTTCGGGGCTCAAGGGCCCTCCCGTTGTTTCGGGCTAACTCTGGCTTCTTTCATTCCATCGCTTTGCCACAGGCTTAGGTGCCGGCTCCTTCTTGCTGGGCGGTGCCCCGAAGGACTGCCTCCACACCCCCCCCAGCAGAAAGCGAAAAATGTCCTGGCGTTCTTACCTATATCCCTCTATTTCTTGCCAACCTCTTTCATATATATGTAAGAGGTTGCCAGGAAACAGAGGGATATACACATATGTATGTATGTATGTGTATATCCATTATATTTATATATTCTATAATGGATATAGATGGCGTATTTTATCAGATAGAGAGATCCTGACTGCCTGCAGTGGATGCAGAGGTATAGATAAAATACTGAATGAGTTCTCTCTCTCTCTCTCTCTCTGTCTGAAGACGACTCTCTCACAAAAAGGGGCGTTTCCCCCTCCCCTCGGTCCTTGCCTCATCGCCATTTTTGCATTGTGTGTTTCACTTCGTGGGACAGCAGGAAAGAAAAAGAAGGCCCGTGTTTTTGCCTTTAAGGCTCACAGATTTCTTCCCGCACTTCCACCCTGGCGGCTGCTACTCTCTCCGGTCGACCCCCCAATTTAAGGCCCTTTAAAGTCCTATGGATCTCATTGGGGAGGCGTAAGAGTCCAAGCGCGTCTCGCCCTCCCAGGATCAGGCCCGTCCATATCTTTGATCAGGAGCCCGGGAGGCGATCAAGGGTTATTGTTTGATCGGAGCAAACGGACTGCCGTCTCGTTCCCATTTATTTCAACAGGAAATAGATTGAGACGCAGAAGAAGGCGGCCGTTGCGGGACAAAACCTGTTCTCACTTAACTACAGTCTGGAGGATTGCTTCCTAACTAGACCGAGCGGGAGGGGGCTGGGAAGCGGGGGTCCCTCCTTCCGAACGAGCTGCGTCTGAAATGGTTTACTAGGAGTATCTGTACAGTAAAGAGTACAGCGGTTCCAAAGCGTTGTGAAACAGACGAGCAACGCCCACGGCTTTTTGCGAATTCCCCCCAAAAAACAGCCCCTCCCTGTCCAGACCGCATTCCACGACCCAGCGCCATTGTGGACTCGGGCACGCGCAGAGGAACTGCGGCAAAAATCGGGAAGCAAACAATTTGGTGCATGGATTTGCATAAATGCGGCAAAATTGCCGCAGTGGTCAGTCTATGATTAGTTACCCGGATCCGAGAGGAGCGAACCGCCCGAAACTCACACATGGAAGTAACGAGCATGATTCCCCCCCACCCTGTGTAAATATTAAAATATCTATAGAAATTATTGCTTTGCGCTTTTGCGATGAGAGGCAAATCCGAGTTTATTTTCGGTACTCGCCTCCTTAGATGTAAGCCCTAACGAATCACTGAAACATGCTCTCACTTAAATGTTCGTGGGATTGCAGCAGGAAGGCCATAGAAGAATCGTGGCGGGGAAGCAATTCTCAGACTCTCAAAAGAAGATTGCTTTCCCAGTGAAGAAAAAAAAGGTTACCCCATATTTATCCAATGTTCATTTCAGATTTTGTCTTTTACTTCCAGAGGAAAATATTTGATTTTCGAAGAGGAGAAACTTCATGTTTGCTACGATTCCTGGCAAATATTTAGTCATCTCTGTACTGACACAGTTCAACAAGATCGTTCTCCACTAGCCATTACTTCTCCTCTGTGTCAGACCCTGATTCAATGACAACAAAATGAACATAGGATCTCTTGGTCGTGTTTATTTATTTTTTAAAAGCCACTCATTAGGTCGAAGTTGCATTTATGGTGTCTTTGCGTTTGCTGTCCTGTAAGGAGGCTGAAAGTTACTCCTTTAAACCGACTCTGATCACAGTAGAGACTGAAAGCAAATTCCCCTGTGAGTGTGAACGTGGGGGAGCACACCGAGAAATACTGTTTTGAAATAGAATGCAGTTACAAACTAATCCCATAGTAAACCCTCATAAAGATTTAGTTCCACTGCCTTTCCCACCCCCACCCCGCCTTTTATAGGACAGATCTTTGGTGGAGAGCGATTTTCAGAATTCAAGCAAAGCAGGTCTCGCTCTTATTTTCCTGGATCTAGGAAACGTCTATCTCAATATATCACACCGTGTTTTTGGCACAATAACCCCAATCCAACTGTAAAATGTCAGCCAATGTCAGCAACTCGATCTGACGCACACATTTACACAGCTGTAAGTAGTGGCGTAGAGTTCAGCAGCACCTACTTTTACTTTCTTATGTTTACGGTGGGCAGGGACTACGGGAAAGAGACATTAAACCGTAGCAATATCGGCGGCGGCCGGCGCTTGAACAGATACAGCACAGCCGGTAGTTCTGTGGTCTAAAACGGAAAGGCCGCAGATTAAAGGTGGAAAAGCTGTTGAAGCGGTGTGGTTTTCAGTCTGGTTTGGTTTTGCCTCATTTGGGACCCGGCAGGCCTCCTCCCAGCCAGCCACCCTCCTTTGTAATCGCAGACCCAGTTGCTCCCGGGGTGGCTTCTAAGGAACACCGAATTCCCAGCACGTCGGGCGCTGCATATCCAGGGTCTCGAAGTCAAGCCGAAGAGTGGATGTTGTTGGTCCTGTAATTTCCCCTCTAGTCCCATCTTGAGCGGCCGAAGCCCTTTGAGAAGGGTGTTTCCTGCAACAAAGAAGGGACAGCCATAAACTGGCGCAAGCGTCGAGGAGGCCCCTGTTTTTTTATGTCTGTAAGCGCCACTCCAAACGGACCCCACGCTACAAAACGCTCCACAAGAACAACTGCAACCACTCAAACACAGGGAGACACAATAAGCCTTCTCAGCTGCACCCTGTTCTTTCAGATTCAGTTAGGGTTGAAATGCTGCCAAGTCTATTTTCTTGGAAACTCTTCCCCACCCGCCGCCGCCGCCAGCTTTGCCTGCTTGCAAAAGTGGACACGGAGGTCTAAGTCAGGCGGCCCAAAATTTGGACTGCCTAAGAACCACTTGCAAACCATGCTTAGAAAGGAGGAAGGGGTGGGTGGCTAAAGGACAGGCCTGCTCATCCTTTTGGTCTGCACGAAACAGACCGGCACTCTTCGGAGTTGGCCCTGTACAGGAAGAAGGGGAAGGGAAACTGGGCCCTACGTTTGGGCCAGGATGGGATGGTTGGTGGGTGGGAAGACATCGGAGCTGCGGATCAAGTGCGGGCTTTTCCTCGGGGATTGGCCATTGGAATCTCTCGCCCCTTCCCCCCCCCAGAGAGTAAAAGTTAAAATCAAAATTCCGCCCCCCCTTTTTTTTAATTGCTGAGTTAAACTGAACTCAGCTGATACAGTATCTCTAACGAAGGGAAATAAACAGTGGTGGCGATGGCGAGACTAGTAATGTGGAAAGCGAATGAAAGGGAGAGGGATGGGGGGGAAAGGCGGAAAGAAGACAAAACCGGCGAGGGCGGGGGAGGGACGTTGTGCTTCCACCGGTCTGTATTTTAAAAAGGAGGAAAAACCACTGCAAGGGATTGCAGTAAATTCCTTTTTGTTTGAAGAAAATTTACAACTCGGTAATAGACCTTTTATGACCTATTTGAGCACCTCATTGGCTGCGCCTGGTCATGTGTGAGCGCGGAGGGCTTGCACGGCCTCTTTTTTTTTTCTTTCTTTCTCCCCCCCCCTCTTTTCCCCTTTCCTGAT